ATGACTAAAGTTGATAAATTCCACAAAGCTGAAGTGTGTAGAAGGAGTAATCCTCGTTTTGTAAATAAAATGATTAAAGGAGAAACAAAAAAATGTAAATAGAATGATTCAAGGAGATTAAAAGGCGAAGCAAAAGCAGAGCAGAGAGACACACGACTGCTCTCTCCAGAAGCAGGAAGTCCAGTACAGTAGCATCACATGCTAACATGTACAGTAGCATCACATGCTAACATGTACAGTAGCATCCTATGCTAACATGTACAGTAGCATCACATGCTAACATCTACAGTAGCATCACATACTAACATGTACAGTAGCATCACATGCTAACATGTACAGTAGCATCACATGCTAACATGTACAGTAGCATCACATGCTAACATGTACAGTAGCATCATATGCTAACATCTACAGTAGCATCACATGCTAACATGTTTAGTAGCAAAAACATGCTAACATATACAGTAGCATCCTATGCTAACATGTACAGTAGCATCACATGCTAACATGTACGGAAGCATCACATGCTAACATGTACGGAAGCATTACATGCTAACATGTACAGTAGCATTACATGCTAACATGTACAGTAGCATCCTATGCTAGCATGTACAGTAGCATCACATGCTAACATGTACAGTAGAATCATATGGGCTGTATCCGAATGTCCACACTATACCCTATATAGTGCACTATATAGTGGTCACGCCATTTTGTAGGGGTGTCCGAATGTCCAGAGAGAAAAAGTAGTGCACTGGAATTTTCCCACAATGCATCTCGAAAATGTAGTGTGCAGCAGTGGTCACTATACGGAAGTAAAATGGCGGAGGCACAGAGAGACGAGCTGGAAGCGGAGCGGGACATGAGCTATAAATGTGAGTTTTTGATCATCATAAATATGGAAATGTGTAAACCGTGATATATTGTTGACGATAAGCTGCCAAAATACACATTTGAAGTCAGAATACCATTGCCTTTTAATGCGAAACAACGTACCAATGTTATGCCGCGAAAGTGTTAGCATTTTTGCATATCATAACATTAACATGTAAAGCTAACGCTACAGAAACGGGTCACTGGTGGTCAGTCATTAATGTTATTAAAGCACTTGTGTTATACGTGTAGCATTTATTGTGTGTTTAATGTTTTTCTAAAGGGACAGACACTGATGTGGAGAGGCTAATCCGACTACGGATAAAAAACGGCGGTCTGTTCTCAGGCCGCCGTTTTGCATCGGCGGCTGGATGGGAGTACGACCATTATGAATGAATACTTATTCAAAAAACGTCTACTCGTATTTAAATGCTTTTATGTATCGTTACTTTAGGGCAGTGATAAAGGAAATGGGGCTGAGCCGCCTGATCAGCCCTGCCAGAGCGGCCAAGAAGTGGGAGAACTTAAAAAAGACCTACAAGGTTTGTTTCTTTGTGTGTAATTTGTGAAGCATATATTACATAAAACTCACTGTTTTAAGGAGCTCAGACAGCCACGCACAGGGACAGGGACAGAAGGAGGGGAGCCCATCGCCATATCTTGGAAGTGGTACTCCCTCATGGATGAGGCAATAGGCAGCAGGCCATCTGTGCAGCCTCCCTGCCTGATTGCCTCATCCATGGGGGATGCTGCTTCCACATCTGTGGAACAACCCCCTCCCCCCGTACAGCCAGAGGAGATAGAGGAAGAGGAAAGAGTGGCAGCCAAGAGGCCGAGAAGGGAGAGTTTGTGGAGTTTTTTGGAGAAGGTGGAGAAGAAGGAAGAGGAAAGGGAGAAGCGAGAAGAGGAGAGGGGAAGAAGAGAGGAAGAGAGAGAGGAGAGACTGTTGAGTTTGTTGGAGAAAATAGTGGAGAAATTGTAAATAAAAATGTATTTTGATAAGTGTAGTTTGAACTATATGCATATTGAAATACGATGATGAACACTATTTACACAAAAAAAATTTAATCAACTAGACATTTGTAAAGAACTATACATACATTCAACAATTTCTTTTTAGATATTTACATATTCAATTGTTTTTGTTTTTATTTAAATAGGCCAAAACACAGATTATTCAAACATTTAATTAATAGTCGTGGTCTCGAAGAGCTGGTTCCCTTGGGGCGGAAAGTGCTGCTGCCATCCGTCCACGCAGCTCCTGTCCACCCTGCTGATCAGGCTGGTGCTGCTGATGCTGGTCCTGCTCATCATCAGGCCCTGGCTCCTCTTCCACTGGCTCCCAGAGATCACCATCGCTGACGCAGATGTTGTGCAGGATGGCGCAACAGGCAGTCACCTCGACTGCAAAGGTGGGTTGGACTTCCAGTGCCTTAAAAAAAATTGATCGCCATCTTGCCTTCATCATGTCAAACGCTCTCTCTATTACAGATCGTGCCCGTGCATGGTGCCGGTTGAAGCGGGTTTCCACTGGGCTCCGAACAGGCTCTCTGTATGGAGTGAGGAGTGTGATGGGCTGACGGAGGCAAGGGTAGCCACCATCCCCAAGGAGGACGTGTCCATTTGGGGGATAGAGCCGGTGGACGTAGAGGGGGCTGTTTTTAAGCACTCGAGAATCGTGCACAGATCCGGGGTAGCCAACAAATAAATCAATAAATAAGCCACGGTGATTACACACAGCCTGCATTTGAATGGAATAAAACAATTTCCTGTTAAAATAACACTGTGCATTTTCTTGAAGGGGCTTTATTCTGATGTGGCAGCCGTCGATGCTCCCCACAACATTATTGAGAGCAGCTGATCCAGCCAGCAACTGAAACCCAGCTGCAACTTGGGGAAGTTCCTCCAGGGAAGGGAAATGAATTATTTGGCCACGCATTTGAAGGATCTGGTTGGCCACCCTGTGGATCACATCGTGGACTGTGGACTGGGGCATGTCAAATGCCCTGGCGACAACACGGTACGCGGTGCCACTGGCCAACCAAAAGAGGAAGACCAAAACCTCCATGTCCTGGCTCCAGCCCTGGTGATGAGCACTCCTCAGGTGGCTAACCAGACGGGTGATGGTGGTTCGAGTGAGGCGAAAATCGGGGCGAAGGTCAGACTGGCCATTTAAGTACATGCTGACTAGGGGTACATGGTGGTTCAGTCGGCAGTACACCGGTGGTTCACCCTAAAACAAAACAAAAATTCTCTTAAACTTAATATGATACTTCTAGATTCATTTTTTAATTCTGTATCTGCACTTTTAGTTATGAGTGCAGACACAGGAATAAGTACTCATTTTTCATTTTGAGATTTAAAAATGTAAATAAAAATGAAGAGTATATAGCTGAAGTCATGTTCTTTTGTGCCCTGGCATTGATTTTGCCAAATGTATTGTGTGTTGCAGGGAGCTGGAGCTGCCCTGAGACAACTGAAGTAGAAACCCTCACTACATCACGCGCACCTAATAACACACAAAAAAATCACAGAAGCCCTGTGCCCCATGGCCAAGCAAATTCTATTATTGTTTAATGATTAAGTACTCATTTTTCATTTAGAAAAAATGAGTACTTAATCCATTTCCCTTGCTATGGTTTTGTGTTCTTTCAACCAATAAAATATTTTAATGTTCTTGCATTTTAAGTGAGTGTGTCTATACAATGTGTTTTATTGTTGAAATATGTCTAAATGTATATGACTAATGTGTTTCTCATTGACTGAGAATAGTATTTTGAATTAGTAAGTACTATAATTTACCCAGTAGATGGTGCTAATGCTATATAGACAAAGGACGAATACAATACTTACACGACGCCTTGCTAATGAAAGAAGAGCAATTCTCCTCCTCGCCTCATCGCCTGTCTTCGCCTTCTCTCTGTTCGGCGGTGTTTAATTCGCATTATGAGAAGTTTTATAATAGTTATGAAAAACATTGCAAAATTCAGTGGAGGTGCCATTTCACCGGTGTTAGAGGAGCCGGTCAGGTGGCGGGAATATGAAAGACGTCAACCAAAATTCATAAATATGAATATAAATTGTAAAAACATTTTATACATGTTTATTAGACAAATATTGATATTTTAATATACTATTATTTATATATAAAATTATATTGATCCAATGACATGTGACAGGGGTGTGATGTGGGCCGCGGCTAAAAATAGTGTGCAGCTGTCCGAATCGCCAACAGAATGAGTGCACTGACTCACTCACTCAGTCGCTATATAGTCCCGAACTATATAGTGAGTGAGTGAATAGGGTATAGTGTGGACATTCGGATACAGCCATGCTAACATGTACAGTAGCATGACATGCTAACATGTACAGTAGCATCACATGCTAACATGTACAGTAGCATCACATGCTAACATGTACAGTAGCATCACATGCTAACATGTACAGTAGCATCCTATGCTAACATGTACAGTAGCATCACATGCTAACATGTACAGTAGCATCACATGCTAACATGTACAGTAGCATCCTATGCTAACATGTACAGTAGCATCACATGCTAACATGTACAGTAGCATCACATGCTAACATGTACAGTAGCATCACATGCTAACATGTACAGAAGCATCCTATGCTAACATGTACAGTAGCATCCTATGCTAGCATGTACAGTAGCATCACATGCTAACATCTACAGTAGCATCACATGCTAAAATGTACAGTAGCATCACATGCTAACATGTACAGAAGCATCCTATGCTAACATGTACAGTAGCATCCTATGCTAGCATGTACAGTAGCATCACATGCTAACATCTACAGTAGCATCACATGCTAACATGTACAGAAGCATCCTATGCTAACATGTACAGTAGCATCCTATGCTAGCATGTACAGTAGCATCACATGCTAACATGTAGGTATCATCACAGGCTAACATGTTTAGTAGCAAAAACATGCTAACATATACAGTAGCATCATATGCTAACATGTACAGTAGCATCACATGCTAATATGTACAGTAGCATCCTATGCTAACATGTACAGTAGCATCACATGCTAACATGTACGGAAGCATTACATGCTAACATGTACAGTAGCATCCTATGCTAACATGTACGGTAGCATCACATGTTAACATGTGTTATACGCTCGTATGACGGACGTATGACGGACGTATGACGCTCGTATGACGGTCGTATGACGGACGTATGACGGACGTATGACGGTCGTATGACGGTCGTATGACGGACGTATGACGGACGTATGACGGTCGTATGACGGTCGTATGACGGACGTATGACGGTCGTATGACGGACGTATGACGGTCGTATGACGGACGTATGACGGACGTATGACGGACGTATGACGCTCGTATGACGGTCGTATGACGGACGTATGACGGACGTATGACGGACGTATGACGGTCGTATGACGGTCGTATGACGGACGTATGACGGTCGTATGACGGACGTATGACGGACGTATGACGGCCGTATGACGGACGTATGACGGTCGTATGACGGACGTATGACGTTCGTATGACGGACGTATGACGCTCGTATGACGGACGTATGACGGTCGTATGACGGACGTATGACGTTCGTATGACGGACGTATGACGCTCGTATGACGGACGTATGACGGACGTATGACGGACGTATGACGGACGTATGACGGACGTATGACGGACGTATGACGGTCGTATGACAGACGTATGACGGACGTATGACGGTCGTATGACGGACGTATGACGGACGTATGACGGACGTATGACGGACGTATGACGGTCGTATGACGCGAAGCTGCGCCTAATTTAGGATTGATTTCTAATTTTGTGCGCGCAGCAACGCGTCTCCATTGAAAACACATGTAAAACATGATTTTTAGTGACCCTTGGATTTAGATCGCAGCCACACACACACACACACACACACACACACACACACACACACACACACACACACACACACACACACACACACACACACACACACACACACACACTCACACACACACACACACACACACAGCACTTGTGTCTAAACATCAGCAGGAGGAGCAGCAGGTTTTACAGTGATTCTGGACATAGTTTTTTTTCTTTCATAAAGTCTGGCGTCTGGCCAAACCAGCACAGAGACCATGAGGACAAACACATGTGGTTTATGTTGCTCTACATCAGTCTCTGTACTGTCCTCTGCACTGCTCCATAGACTACACAGGGACAGCATCAGAAGCCTCAGACCTGCACGGCCTGTGTAGATACTCCCAAATAATGTCACGTGCACATGCGCACAGTCAACGCGTACGCGCTGTTAACGCCTACTGTGGACATTCCCTGTTAGACATTTACTTTTAGCATTATTATCACTGTATATGAACTTGCCATGTTCGTCCTGATTGGTTAAGGAAGAACCAGCGTATTGTGTTCTGCGTCCTGATTGGTTAAGGAAGAACCAGCGTATTGTGTTCTGCGTCCTGATTGGTTAAGGAAGAACCAGCGTATTGTGTTCTGCGTCCTGATTGGTTAAGGAAGAACCAGCGTATTGTGTTCTGCGTCCTGATTGGTTAAGGAAGAACCAGCGTATTGTGTTCTGTGTCCTGATTGGTTAAGGAAGAACCAGCGTATTGTGTTCTGCGTCCTGATTGGCTAAGGGGCCGTGCCGTGTTTCCTGTATCACAGCATTCACACTGACAAATGTAAATCCATGTCTGAGAGCTAGCAGTGTGACTGTAAGTGCTGTATGCTCATTTTCTCCTTGCCAAAACCATGGACTAAACCCACAACATGGTTAGTGCTAAAAGTTGAACTTCTGGACATGGACGATGACAGCAAAGAGGAGCACGGTGCGGAGCCCAGGCCTTTGACGAGGGACTTTCATGCAGCACTAAGCCCATTTTTGTCAAGAAAATTTACCAGACCAAATACTTCTCTGTCTCTGAGTGAGCCAGTACCAGACCAAATACTTCTCTGATCTCTGAAGACCTCTGGCTCTGCTCTGGCTCTGCTCTGGCTCTGCTCTGGCTCTGCTCTGGCTCTGGCTCTGCTCTGGCTCTGCTCTGGCTCTGCTCTGCTCTGGCTCTGCTCTGGCTCTGCTCTGGCTCTGGCTCTGGCTCTGCTCTAGCTCTGCTCTGGCTCTGCTCTGGCTCTGCTCTGGCTCTGGCTCTGCTCTGGCTCTGCTCTGGCTCTGCTCTGCTCTGGCTCTGCTCTGGCTCTGGCTCTGCTCTGGCTCTGCTCTGGCTCTGGCTCTGGCTCTGCTCTGGCTCTGCTCTGGGTCTGCTCTGGCTCTGGCTCTGGCTCTGCTCTGGCTCTGACTCTGGCTCTGCTCTGGCTCTGCTCTGGCTCTGGCTCTGACTCTGGCTCTACTCTGGCTCTGCTCTGGGTCTGGCTCTGGCTCTGCTCTGGCTCTGCTCTGGGTCTGCTCTGGGTCTGCTCTGGGTCTGCTCTGGCTCTGCTCTGGGTCTGCTCTGGCTCTGGCTCTGGCTCTGCTCTGACTCTGGCTCTGCTCTGGCTCTGCTCTGGCTCTGGCTCTGCTCTGGCTCTGCTCTGCTCTGGCTCTGGCTCTGCTCTGGCTCTGGCTCTGCTCTGGCTCTGCTCTGGCTCTGGCTCTGCTCTGGCTCTGCTCTGGCTCTGCTCTGGGTCTGCTCTGGCTCTGCTCTGGCTCTGCTCTGGCTCTGGCTCTGCTCTGGCTCTGGCTCTGCTCAGAACTACGGCTCCTGCTTCGCCGCAGGTGTTTTACAAACTCATTTTACGCTAATACTTTGATATAACCCACGAAGGCTGCTCATATTAAAGGCACACAAAGGCACACATGTCCGGTGATTTTTATGAAAGTATCAACAAAAATCACTGGAATAAACGTGTGTGAATTTCTTTTTTCCGGGTCATCGGACCTCGACAACGCCCCCGCGCAGTCCCCCCCTCAAATAAATTCCTGGCGGAAACCCTGCTAGACCTATGCCTTAAAAGTCTAATCTGGAGGTGAGCTCTCTCCACCAGGGAGATCACGATTATGATCAATAACTGTAATCTTATGACTTTAAAGTGGTTTGAGATAAAGGAAAACTGTGAATGAGAAATATCTTCAATATGAACCAAAGTTTGGGATGGAAGTCGATTCGTCGTCTAATTTGCATATTGTGACATCACAAGGTGGCGGCCATATTGGAAAATGTAAATGGAACATTGTTTTTAAACGCTGTAGTTTGAGAGCGGTTTGATAAAAGGGAACACTGTAAAAAGTCAATGTGAGTATGAAACAACATTTATGAAAGAATTTGGGATATATATAAATTCACAGATCCATTTTGTGTAATCTTTTAGTGCTGGTCAGCGGCCATATGGGAATGTATTTTCAAAGACCTTCACTGATCAAGATGACACTCCTTATAGTTTTTCAGTGTGTGGGATCTTTCATTCCAAGGCACTACTCCACACTGACTGCACCTGTATTGTGTTTGTCTACAGATTTTTGGGCGGGTGCGATCTGAACACACTGGACGTTCCTCTGTGTTGCAGAGCCAGTGACGTTCAGTGAGCCTCTGTGGCATTTCTCCCTGCTCCATTGACGGACGTCCTCCTTTAGTCTTTTCCTTTTGGAGAAGCCCTCAAGCCCAGATGTTATAATGTCCTGAATAAAGGCCTTCAGTGGGTTGTGTGGACCAGGACTACAGCGTGAATAAATAATGTGTGCATTGACCACACTGATGCTCAGAACCGCATCAAAAATACGGTTGTACCATTTTCTAGATCTGTGTGGAAACAAGTCTGTTTTCAGTCGTTGATCCGCTGTATCAGCTCCTCCCATAAAGGAGTTGGAACTGTCCACACACTGGTTTCATAATGTGACGAAACCCTGTCACATTATCCTTTGTCCTGTATTGACTTCCAAACTCGATATTCCATTATATTTAGAATATTAAATATATATGTTGATGCATATCTCAGAAATGCAGCACACGTGATTTCATGTCTAACACTTTTACACTCTGTTGTCAGTGTTGTTTGAGGTTTCTGCTCATAGGTTTGTTCTTTATGAAGCGGGCTGTTGGACTAATAAGGGAGTTCTTTAGAGGAGGAGATTGATGCCAGACCAGTGACAGCAGCCTTGAGATTTCTTCCTTATCTCAAGGAAGGAATAAATCTATAGGTTGGAAGTGTGAATCCCTTTTTAGGTGTGGAATGGAGAGATGCGGAGGGGAAACCAGACAAAGGCCAGACATGATGCAGAGTCCAGACCGGGACCAGGAACTGGCTGATACGACACGCCCCTTCTGCACATTATTACTTATATGATTTAGCCTGATGTTTTAGTTCAGTCAGATAGGGTGAGCCCAAAGTAAACAGAGCAGAAATAGTTAGGATAAGGAGGATTTTTTGAGTTTCTGTATCTGATTGTAAAGATAAATTAAATACAGATGTTTAACCTGGAAATCTTCGTCTTGTTTTCTGCATCAAGTTTTGACACACGGCCAAAGGTTTTTTTAGACAATAAAGTATATATATATTCGAACAAATATAGACATTCCTTAATATTCGAAGCTGTAATGGGCTTTTTTATGATATGCTTGAAAGTTTTTTCACACGTGGACGAGCAACCTGAGAGCTCACCAACTCTCCATCCCGGCAAACTGGAGTAGAGAGAGGGGGTGCAGGGGTCAGCGCTGGGGCCGAGGCAGACAAAAATCGACTCCATGCTGCCAAATGCACGAGGATTACCATAAGCCCGACAAAACAAAGCAACTGATTTGCTGACCCCATTTATTTGTCAGGATATGAGGCCCATTAATATTATATATGGGAGCGGATTTCAGGCATTCATTCAGGAGCTACAGCCACGATTCAAGTTCCCCTGCCCCCGGACAATCGGTGATAAAATAACCAAGCTGTACGACACAACCAAAGGCCAAATGAAAGAAATGCTGCGTGGAGAAAAGCTATCATTGACCACTGATGGGTGGAGCTCTTTGGCCACGGAGTCGTACGTGACCGTTACAGCACCATCAGTGAAGATTGGGAGATGAAAAATGTTGTACTTGACACATCTGAGCTTCAAACAGCGCACACAGCTGCAAAAGTCTCCACCTGCATCAACAATATTTCAGAAGAATACAAAGTGGAGCGGGAGTTGGTGCTTGCAATCACAACTGATAACGCGCTTAACTATGTTAATGCGGTGGAGAAGCATTTAGCGATCACGGATATCCCATGCATGGCCCATACTATTAACCTGGCAGTCAGAAAAGGGCTTTCAGAGCGTTCTGTAGCAACAGCAGTCAGCCGCCTAAAGGCTGCTGCTCAACATTTCAAACACTCCCCTACAGACAGCTATCTCCTGGAGTCCAAACAGAAGCTCCTTGGTCTCAAACCAGTTCAGCTCATCAATGACTGCCCCACTCGCTGGAACAGTACCTACCACATGATCTGTGGGGCAGCTGATCAACAAGCCCCTGTTGCAGCAGTGATAATGGAAAAGAAAGTCAGCTCCCTGGAGCTCAGCAGTGTCGAGTGGACCCTAATGGAGAAGGTCAGTAACCTACCGTTGGCTGATGATGTTGGGTGGTCTCATTATATTATACCCCTAATGTTAAAATTAGCTTGCTGCTCACCAATGCAATAACACGCAAATAAGGCGTATAAACTAAGTTTTTGTTTTGTGCAACCTCAAGTGGAATGGCCTGTCAGCTCCTCATAGCGGTTAGTAAAAATGTTCATAAACTAAAACACAGCCATTTCAGGACATTTAATGTCCTGAAATGGCAATAATGTTCTAAAATAAAACAAGGGATTTCTGAATAACCTATTTATAGTGTACCTCCTGGCCTAGCGGTCAGCGACTGCAGCAACCCTATAACGCTGCAATAGCCTACATTTTGTTTGTTTTCGCGCTGATTCACTGGTCTATTTTTTCTATTTAAGAGTAGAGAAGAGAGTCACACACGGTTAGATACTTTGTGTGTTGTCCCGCAGGTGAAACACGTGCTGAAACCGTTCAAAGTAGCCACTCAGGCGCTGTCAATGGAAGACTTCCCAACAGCATCAGGTCCTTCCCCTGCAGTATGTGCTTCTGACACAACTAAAGCCCTCCACTGATGACCCGGCAGGACTAAAAGAGATGAAACAAATGATGTCAGCTAATCTGAAGGCGCGATACGGGCCCAACAAAGATGCATTCTTGCTTCTGAACACAGCCAGCTACTTGGACCCGTGTTTTCAGCGGCTCGTGTGTTTGGATGAAGAGTGGCGGCAGGCGGTGCGAGATAGGGTTCAGAGGGAGCTTGTAGACCTCAGCAGGAGACAGGTGCAGAGGATGTGAACGCCACAGAGACACAGCAGCTACACAAATAATGCTCTTAGTGCCATGGGAGACCTCTTTGGTGATGTTTACTGCCACAACATGGCAGAAGCAGCCGGACCATTGTTTTATCAATACAACATTTTTATTTATTTATTGGAAACAAAATAAAAATATTGTTATAAAACGTACGCTATAAAACATGAACAAAAACTAATTTATTTGGAACAGCTAGACTGAATGACGATGTACTAAGAGAAATATTTTGGGCGGCAGTAGCTCAGTTGGTAGAGCGTTGGCCTTTGAGCCAGAAGGTCGTTGGTTCAAGCCCCGCTCAAGACTTTCTCCATCGACTCCCACTGACTACTGTCGTTGTGTCCTTGGCAAGACACTTAACCTCTGGGAACACCAGCCACAGTGGGGCGGCTGTAAAGTGCCAAACTACCGTTGTGTCCTTAGGCAAGACACTTCACCTAGAATGACCCAGTGTTTTCCACAGCGGGGAACATCGTTACAAAGCAACGTTCTTCACTACAGCCAGAAAATGTTCATAGACTTGTATTTTTGGTAAATAACTTTAAAAAGTGAGCAGAGAAATAAGCAGCAGCAGAATGTTAATGAAATGGTAGGAAGTGTTTGTGTTGTTTCTAGGCCTTTACTTTGTCTTTTCAGTTAAGTCGATGGCTTATTTATATTGATTTTATTGAAGCCAAATGCATACGCTAAAGTTTGTAATCTTCAATTAAAAAAATGAAAACATTGCTGCCTGCTTATTGACTTTGATTTACAGTACTCTGCAGTGCCCTCTGTTGGACAAAACATACAACTTCAGTTTGATGCCATACGTTAGGTCTCACTGAAGGCATTTAATACTCAATATATTTGGATTAAATATTCAAATATGTTTGAATATTGAAATGAATAAACAAACACATTTGGAATGTGTTTTTTGTGCAAAAGTCAAAGCCCTGCCATGATTGGTGGACAGCAGCGTGAGATGGTTTGTGTCATGCCAAGCACAAGCCAGCAGTTTATCATGACGCATGAACACTGGGTCTGGCCTTCTCAGAGGCAGCTGGTTTCAGCCCCTTTGGCATCCCTCTTCTGTTGTAGTTCACTGTCCCACACAGTCCGCTGTCTTTAGCGGCTAACTCAATAGCTAAGGCTGGCGATGTGTAGCAGCTGTCCATGTACACCTCTGCCCTTTCCCAGTGTGCGGGGCAAGCAGCTGACGGACAATATGATGTGTTGCCCCTAAATGGTCCTCATCAGTTGTATTTTTGCCACTGCAGAGGCACCACTCTATTACATAACCTGAGCTGGCCTCACTCAAGACAAATGCTTTGTAGCCATATTTATCAGGTTTTTTAGGGTTGTACAATTTCAATGTTGACCTTCCCCTGAATACGATTGTCATTTCCTCCAAGGAAGGTTCCTTCAATGGACCATACACAAAACGGGGAATGATCAATGCAATTATACTGTGTAGAGGTTTGGGGCAATAACTACAAATGCTCAATTCATCCCCTGGTTGTACTTCACAAACGCGCCGTAAGAACAATTCATAAGGCTGGATATCTAGATCACACTCATACTTTATTTCTGCAGTCTAAAATAATCTAACTCACTGATCTAGTGGATTTTTATACAGCTCAACTTTTATTTAAAGCCAACAAAATGGTTTTTCCTTCAAATATCCAGAAACACTTTACTCACAGAGAAGGGTGTTATAATCTGAGAAACACTTTACTCACAGAGAAGGGTGTTATAATCTGAGAAACACTTTACTCACAGAGAAGGGTGTTATAATCTGAGAAACACTTTACTCACAGAGAAGGGTGTTATAATCTGAGAAACACTTTACTCACAGAGAAGGGTGTTATAATCTGAGGGGTGCGGGAACTTTAGATACATGCTGTGAGAACCACCAGGAGAAGTGTGTCTGTGTGTGTGTGTGTGTCTGTGTGTGTGTGTGTGTCTGTGTGTGTGTGTGTGTGTGTCTGTGTGTGTGTGTGTGTGTGTGTGTCTGTGTGTGTGTGGGTGTCTGTGTTTGTGTCTGTGTGTGTGTGTGTGTGTGTGTGTGTGTGTCTGTGTGTGTGTGGGTGTCTGTGTTTGTGTCTGTGTGTGTGTGTGTGTGTGTCTGTGTGTGTGTGTCTGTGTGTGTGTCTGTGTGTGTGTGGGTGTCTGTGTTTGTGTCTGTGTTTGTGTCTGTGTGTGTGTCTGTGTGTGTGTGTCTGTGTCTGTGTGTGTGTGTCTGTGTGTGTGTCTGTGTGTGTCTGTGTGACGCACTTTGAAAAGTCTATCATGACCCGGCCCCTTTCAATGTGGTCCTCATTATTTACAAAGTGAAGGAAAGAAAGAATGATTTCAAATCTGTTTCTCACCATCACTTTGCCAAAGCCAGGAGTGGAAGTTGGCCAAAAACCTGCCTTTTTCAACAAGCCCCATGCACAAGTGAAGTGAGATGAAAGCTTTCATTTCAGGGACCGTCACATCATACCATTCATGAAATCTAGAGTTTGGTTTCAAGGTTTCTCTTTCAAAAAACTGGTGGACATATGTACTTGTTTCAGTGGAAATGAGGCTTCAGAATGTGTCATTGAGAAACAGAGAAATGAAATCAATGGGCTCAGAATTTGTCATATTATCTCCACAATAACCAACAGGCTCTTCAAAATCTCTGATCCACTTTTGATAATCTTCATCTACTCTCAAGAGCTGCCAGCCATCCTCATCATCGTCACCACCGCTGGTCTGGGAACGCCATTAGCGGTGTTTTTCCCCCGCGGCTTGTCCCTTGTCTACCACAACAACCGCGGTGGTTTCCACTCTCCCCACTACATTCACCCATGCCCCCACGACCACGTCCCCTGCTCAGTGTTTGCAGAATGCCCCCCCCCCAGCCACGTTGAGGTGAAGTATCCGCTATACTGTGGGCAGACTGTGGACTATGACGCGAGGACCGTCACTACTCATGTTACTTTCTGCTTCACTGGACAACTCCGTGTCCTCCTCCTCTGAATCTGAGTCAGTTAGCACCTGACCAAGTACTTCATCAACGGTAAAACAACCTCTCTTCATCGTGAATGAATGAAAAAACACTCTTTCTCTATGTTCTGCTCTCGCTACGCTCTGCACTACTGCCACTTCTCTGCCTCCGCCTAAGTGCGCCGAAGGCTGTCACACAAACTCATTTTACTCAAAAACTTTTCATAAAACCACGCCCACAAATGCTGCTCATATTACAGACACACATGTCTGCCATCTCCTGGTCAAAAGTATGAACAAGATTCGACACCATATTTAAAGATACAGCCTGTTTAAAGGAGCTATGTTGCTTTGGCGCTTAAAGGGTTAAGCTTCATCTCTAGTTTGTCCTTTTCCATTTTCCCCAAACTCAGCTCCATAAGCAGTGAGCTCCAGGAGAATGAACCTTTTAATGAAGTCACTTCAACACTCACACTTTCTGAGTCCTGGAGTTAACCTCTGAGCTCCAGAATGCTCCAGTCTGAAACACATTAAATCTCATTAAAACATCTGTCACACTAAGGCCATGTATTCTTTGATGTGTGATGTCACATGTCTCTTCTGTCCTTACAGACCATACCTGAGAGTGTGCAGGGTGCAGTGGGGATCCTCCAGCAGAGCAGACAGCAGCTTTACTCCTGTGTCTCCTGGATGGTTGTAGCTCAGGTCCAGTTCTCTCAGATGGGAGGGGTTGGACCTCAGAGCTGAGGCCAGAGAAGCACAGCCTTCCTCTGACACCAAACAACCTGACAGACTGAACACACACATTATTGTAATCACTCAGTTCATGACTAACATTCAACCCAAATGAGACACAGAACAATCCTTTATCTTTAACTGTCTTTGTCCACTGGTATTGTCCAAAACAATGACCAACAGGTTCTGTAAGAACAGTGAATCATATGAACCCTCTGACCTGAGCGTCTCCAGTTTACAGTGAGGACTCTTCAGTCCATCAGACAACAGCTTCAGCCCTGAGTCCTTCAAGTCGTTGTGACTCAGGTCTAGGACTCTCAGACTAGAGGACTGGGAGCTGAGGACTGAGGCCAGAGCTCCACAGCTTCTGTCTGACAGCTCACAGCAGCTCAGTCTGGAGACAGAAAACATGGTTATGTAGAAGTTTAATGAATCCTGTGTTAAAAAAAGGTTACTCACAGAGCTTTGGTGGAGGCCTTGACCACTGGCAGCAGCCTCAGGAGAGCCTCCTCTGAAGCACAGTATCTGCTCAGATCAAACTGGTCCAGATCTTCTTCTGATGACAGTAAGATGAAGGCCAGAGCTGACCACTGAGCAGGAGACAGTCCTTCAGACAGACGTCCTGACCTCAGGGTCTGTTGGATCTGCTCCACCAGAGAAGAATCATTCAGTTCATTCAGACAGTGGAGCAGACTGATGCTCCTCTCTGCAGACACATCCTCACTCAGCTTCTTCTTTATGTACTCTGCTGTCTTCTGATTGGTCTGGGAGCTACTTCCTGTCTGTGTCAGCAGACCGTTTAGAAGGCTCTGATTGGTCGACACTGAAAGGCCCAGGAGGAAGCGGAGGAGCAGGTCCAGGTGTCCGTTTGGACTCAGTAAGGCCTGGTCCACAGCTGTCTGGAAGAATTGTAGTAGATCTTTTTCAGTGACGCGATGCTTTATCGTGGACATTATGGACTTTCTCTCTACCAGCAGATTAATTCCAGTCTTGATGAAGGTCTGATGGACATGAAGAGCAGCCAGAAACTCCTGTACACTCAGATGGATGAAGCAGTAGACCTTGTCCTGGTACAGGCCTGGCTCCTCTCTAAAGACCTGTGTGAAGACTCCGGAGTACACTGAGGCGGCTGCAGCGTCCAGCCCACACTCGCTCAGGTCACAGTCGTAGAAGATCAGGTTTCCTCTCTGCAGCTGCTCAAAGGCCAGTTTTCCCAGAGACTCCACCATCTTCCTGGTCTCTGGACTCCAGTGTGGGTCTGTCTCTGATCCTTGTTTATACTTGATGTTCTTGACTTTGGCCTGAACCACCAGGAAGTGGCTGTACATCTGCGTCAGGCTCTTGGGCAGCTCTCCTCTCTCTCTGCTCTTCAACACATGCTCCAGGACTGTGGCAGTGATCCAGCAGAAGACTGGCATGTGGCACATGATGTGGAGGCTTCTGGACGTCTTGATGTGGGAGAGGACTGTGTCGGCCTGTTCTCCGAACCTCCTCCTGAAGTACTGCTCCTTCTGAGAGTCGCTGAACCCTCGGACCTCTGTCACCATGGAGACGCACTCTGCAGGGATCTGATTGGCCGCCGCGGGGCGTGTGGTGATCCAGAGGCGAGCGGAGGGAAGCAGGCTCCCCCTGATGAGGTTCACCAGCAGCAGGTCCAGAGAGACGGACTCTGTGGGATCTGAGAGGGCACGAGAGCTGCTGAAGTCCAGAGGAAGTCTGCACTCGTCCAGACCGTCAAAGATGAAGAGCACCTGGAGGTCTTCAAAGCTGCAGAGATCTGCTTGTGTTTGACTAAAGAAGTGATGAACAAGTGACACCAGGCTGAAGCTTCTGTCCTTCAGAACATTGAGAGTTCTGAAAGTGAAGGGGAACAGCAGCTGGAGGTCCTGGTTGGCTTTGCCTTCAGCCCAGTCCAGACTGAACTTCTGAGTGAGCACTGTTTTCCCGATGCCAGCCACGCCCTTTGTCAGCACCGTTCTGATTGGTTTGTCTGAGTGGGCTGGGTCTTTAAAGATGTCTTCACATGTGATGGTTCTCTCTGCTGGTCTCCTGGAGGCTGCTTCCATGTGTCGGACCTCATGTTCCTGGTTGACCTCTGAAGAGCCTCCCTCTGTGATGTAGAGCTCGGTGTAGATCTGATTCAGGAGGGTGGGGGCTCCTGCTTTAGCGATGCCCTCAAACACACACTCAAACCTCTGCTGCAGATGCTCCTTCAGTTTACGCTGAGGACATCCAGAATAAGTCCCTGAATGAAGACAACAGAGACAGAGTCAGAGAAGATCACATGACCATCATGAACGTGTTCTTACTGCTCCACAGACGCTCAGCCAGCTCCTTCTGGTCCATCCTCCTCAGGAAGTTCAGTGTGATCTTCAGGAGCGCCTCACTGCTGCTCCTCTGCTCCTCATCCTCCACAGGCTCTAAGCATTCTGGGTAATCTGTGCTCAGAAGCCTTTGGAACTTCTTCAGCTCCTTCTGGACAAAAGTGGAGAGGTCCTTCTTCAGGCGCTGCACACACATAAGAAACAACACAAACAATAAGTGTTTCCATCTGACACGGCGCAAGATGGTGCCGTGTCATGGCGCCGCAGTGAGAGCTCTAGTGTGCAAAATCTGTGTTTTGTTGCTGTTTGTCTTTGAGTCACTTGCCACTGTGAAGTATGACCGAGAGGCGCTTCTTAACATTCGGGACCTTGCGTGTGACGGGTCACTCGTTTTACCCGAACTGAGGTGCACGAACTTCCTCGAGTGTCCCACTTGAGAGGCCCGTGGAGCATGGCAGGCGGGCCGCGGCGGTGGCCGCCAACAGAGCGAGGGGACTGGGCGTCTCCGGCGTTCTCTCCGCGGTGTGGAGCTGGGCACCTCGAGTCGGCGAAGGAGGCGCAGACACCGGGGAAGACGAGGCGGTCTGCTCGATCGAAGCCGCTCCTCCAGGACCGCTCTGCCCTCCATCTACCTGGCCAACGTCCAGTCTCTGCCCAACAAGACGGACGAGCTCCTGTGTCGGGTCCAGAGCCAGCGCGAGGCCCGGGACTGCGCTGTGTTCTGCCTCAGCGAGACGTGGCCAGAGGCGGAGGTGTGTGCTTTTTAATTAATCAGCGCTGGTGCACGGACACTCGAATCGTGAACCAAACATGTACTGCCAATCTGGAATGTCAATGTGGTTTTTTACTGAAAATGGCAAATAAACTGAATCTGAATCTGATCCGAGTGGAGCACATGTCTGGTTCAGGTCCAAGGACTTTGCTCGACATCCTGCTCCACCCAGAGGCTACTCCACCTCTGCTGCTGTGACCCGTCCTGCTCCACCCAGAGGCTACTCCACCTCTGCTGCTGTGACCCGTCCTGCTCCACCCAGAGGCTACTCCACCTCTGCTGCTGTGACCCGTCCTGCTCCACCCAGAGACTACTCCACCTCTGCTGCTGTGGCCTGTCCTGCTCCACCCAGAGGCTACTCCACCTCTGCTGCTGTGACCCGTCCTGCTCCACCCAGAGACTACTCCACCTCTGCTGCTGTGGCCTGTCCTGCTCCACCCAGAGGCTACTCCACCTCTGCTGCTGTGACACGTCCTGCTCCACCCAGAGGCTACTCCACCTCTGCTGCTGTGACCCGTCCTGCTCCACCCAGAGGCTACTCCACCTCTGCTGCTGTGACCTAAACGGCTGTTGCTGATTATTACTATTGTTATGTTTTTAGAATGATCAATTTTATTTTTAATTTTTGACGCTACTGGACACCTTAATTTCTCCAACAGGGATCAATAAAGTATCGATCTATCTATCTATCTATCTATCTATCTATCTATCTATCTATCTATCTATGTATCTATATAACATGGCTGCAGCGTGTCATGTGACCCAGTTAGTGCACACTAAAACTATTTATTTATACATTATCTAGTTTCTTAGTCGGGTTACATCTGTACATTACATAAACATCTCAATCAATCAATCTTTATTTATGAAGCACATTTAAAACAGCCGTGACTAAAGTGCTGAGGCTGAGAAGGTTCTTCTAATAAAACAAAAGTGTAAAGAAGCTAGTTCTGTTTGATCACCACATGTTTAGACGTCTGCCTTTGTCAGAGAAACGTGATGGTGCAACGTGTCTCTGATCAGCTGTTGTTCAGGCTGACCACGCCCCCTCAGACTGACCACGCCCCCTCAGATTGACCACACCCCCTCAGACTGACCACGCCCCCTGTGGTCTCTGGAGAAGTGAGTCCCAAGCGTGAGTCAAGGTGAAAACCCCCTGGTCCCTGTTGATGGTCCGTGCGCCACACTTCCTGGTTTCAGTCAGGTCTGATGGATCAGTTCCATCTCCTCAGTTTGACTGCATCCTGAACTTCCTTCAAACAAGTTTTGGTTCAGAACGGTTCGAATGGGCAGATATATTATTATAGATATATTTGGACATCATCAGCAAAGCAGTGGTTATCAATATTCTGCTTCTTAAATATAGCTCCCAGGGGAAGCAAGTAAAGGCAAAAGAGGGTGGGGCCTAAAATACTGCCTTGGGGCACTCCTCACTTTAAGTCTCATACTTTAGAGAACTGTCACAGTTGGACAGAAAAAGATCAATCCGTGAGACAGGACTGAAAGTGCAGTTCCTGTGATGGTCCACCGTATCGAAGGCTGAGGGTCATTGACCGCCATTGACGCGTTAACATGTCAATTGCGTGTCCCGCTATTTTTACGTTCCCAGATGTCTATTGTATCTAATATGTATGGGGATGGCTTGAGACCATATTTTATCGAGCCAGCAGGTGGCAGCATTTCTCTCTGAATGGTTTGAAAACAGCCAGATGCACTTGTTGTGCCTCTTTTTTCTCAACTTTCTGGTGATTTCAGTAAAACTTCCCTCTACTCAACGGGGATTACAGGGGAACGAAACAAGCTAGAAACAAAATTATTTTTTAGTCATAGTACACAATATTCTGTGGGTCTTGAAAAATCAGTAAAAATCATCAGAAACGGCTGACAATATGGGAGTACTTGTTCTGAAATAGGCTGGCAGTCAATGAGTTAATCTAGGAGAACGAGAGCAGAAGGGTGGCCAGAGTCTGAGACTGAGATCATTCAGGTCTATGTTTGGCTTTGAAACCTGAACTTCTCAGTGATGTATCAAGACTCTGTGCTGTGTATCTAATGATTCAGAGGAAGCTCCAGGATTCAGCCTGATCATTTTCACTTGTCTCTTTGTTCGTCTTGTGTCTTCAGAACAGAGTGGGTTTTATATTCTCTTCATGAGTTTCTGTGGTTGTGTTTCCACCTCCTGTTACTGATGTCACACTTCAAACTGTGCTTTAACACCAGGAGATGGAACACATCAGTGTCACATGTGTGTGAAACTAGTCCTTCAGCTGAACATCTCCAAACGTGAGTGAATGACAGACCTTAAATACAGAGTCCTGGCCTGTGCGATGGTGCGGACCACTGGAGACCTTGGCAGCCGCTCTGTGGAGAGACAGAGACACTTACAGAGGGAAACACAGTATTTAGTCAGTTAGACAAGTCCTCCCACTTCAAAAGGAGAGAGGCCTTTTATCATAGTTTACCTCAACTATGAGACAAAATGGGAACATTTTAAAGACTGTATTTAAACTGATGGTGGTGTCCTGGGCTGAAGCGCTAGGCCTGGATTGGTTAAATGTGTTCTGATTCTGCATTAAACTCTTTTTAATACATAACTCAGTCAATCCTTCTCCAAAACTATTTTGTGCAGGAACCTGATCTTCTGTGGAACAGGTGGAAAGTCTGTAACTTCTCCTTTAAGAGACTCCTCTGTCCTCCACTCTTATTACTATTGCAACAACACATCATCAGTAAAACTAACCTGTCTCATGACGGTCTAAACCCAGCTCACGTTCCCTATTAGTGGGTGAACAATCCAACGCTTGGTGAATTCTGCTTCACAATGATAGGTTGAGCCTTTATTAATGTCTGTGAGGATCTCATGGGCGACAGGGTACCCCTGCTCAGTCTCTGTGAGGATCTCATGGGCGACAGGGTACCCCTGCTCAGTCTCTGAGGACCACCCAGTCCTCTGGTCTCTGTGAGGACCACCCAGTCCTCTGGTCTCTGTGAGGACCACCCAGTCCTCTGGTCTCTGTGAGGACCACCCAGTCCTCTGGTCTTTGTGAGGACCACCCAGTCCTCTGGTCTCTGTGAGGACCACCCAGTCCTCTGGTCTCTGTGAGGACCACCCAGTCCTCTGGTCTCTGTGAGGACCACCCAGTCCTCTGGTCTCTGTAAGGACCACCCAGTCCTCTGGTCTCTGTAAGGACCACCCAGTCCTCTGGTCTCTGTGAAGACCACCCAGTCCTTTGGTCTCTGTGAGGACCACCCAGTCCTCTGGTCTCTGTGAGGACCACCCAGTCCTCTGGTCTCTGTGAGGAACACCCAATCCTCTAGTCTCTGTGAGGACCACCCAGTCCTTGGTCTCTGTGAGGACCACCCAGTCCTCTAGTCTCTGTGAGGACCACCCAGTCCTCTAGTCTCTGTGAGGACCACCCAGTCCTCTGGTCTCTGTGAGGACCACCCAATCCTCTAGTCTCTGTGAGGACCACCCAGTCCTCTGGTCTCTGTGAGGACCACCCAGTCCTTGGTCTCTGTGAGGACCACCCAGTCCTCTGGTCTCTGTAAGGACCACCCAGTCTTCTAGTCTCTGTTAGGACCACCCAGTCCTCTGGTCTCTGTGTGCAATCCATGAATCTTGGTGCTGTAGCCTGGACTAGCCTAGCCGTGGCTGCTGCTGTCTCGCCTCCTTTCAGATACGCTCTCTTTATTCAAGGCTAGGTTTAAAACAGTCCTCTTTAGTTTAGCAGATGGCTAGGAAGGTAAGACTCAGGGAAGGCTAAACTCCTCAGACTGTCAGTCAAGCTGCATAGGGAGCCCCCTGCTGGAGAAGTATGGTAACTGCACTATCCTCTCCTCCTTCCTACTTTATCTGTTTAGCATTTTTAGGATTTTGACTGTAGTTTGTTCATTGCTATTCACCCGTTGTCCCATTGTCTGTTTCATGGTACGATGACGGGATCTCTGAGCCTGGCCTCCTCCATCTACACCTGCGGACTGCCCCGCCCGACCCGCCTGGGACTGCTTCAGTCCTGCACCGGACCTGTCCACGTTCAGCGGCCACTGGTCCACGTTCTGTAGCTAGCTTAGGTCCTGGATCATTAGCCTGTCCGTCCGGAGGAGCGGATCCCTTTCTCAAATGGGTCTCCCTCCCTGTGGGTTTCCCTAGTGCTCCCCAAGGTTTCTCACTTTTTCCCACTGGGTTTTTTAAGAGTTGTTCCTTGTGGATGCAGGAGGGTCTTGTTGGACAGTTAGTGTCCAACAGAAAGGATTGGTGATGATCAGGACACTTTAGCATTCTACAACATGTATGGACATTTTCTTCTGTGTGTGCTTTATATTCTCCATGTGTTTTAACTGTTGATTCTCTGACCTGTGTTGGTGATTTCAATGGTTTTGTTAAGTCTCTGAGATGACTTCTGTTGTGACCTAGGGCTATACAAGAATAAATTGTATTGTATTGTGAGGACCACCCAGTCCTCTGGTCTCTGTGAGGACCACCCAGTCCTCTGGTCTCTGTGAGGACCACCCAGTCCTCTGGTCTCTGTGTTCAGTCAGATATTGTTGAGCGGTCTCAGTCTTTTACCATTATTACTACTATAACTGTTACTACTATACCGCCCATCTCTGTGTGGAGTGAGAGACAAATGCCCAAAAAAAGTAACAATTGTAAACCGCTTTGTGACTCTGGTCTGTGAAAGGCGCTATATAAATAAAGATTACTTACTAACTACTTACTATACAGATGGAGCAGTGGCTTTAGTCTGAGCTCTGACACTGCTGGATTCTCATCTCTGAGCAGTGAGGGCAGTGTTACAATAGCCCCCATCACATCACTGACCAGGCCCTGACCTGCTTAGTCTCAGACACACATGAGTTACAGTCAGACTTACCGCTGAAGGTTCTTTTTAAAGTTGATCCCTCGAGGAATGGAGCGTTCACTGCTCAATGACGCCGCCCTGCTGGTGGAAAATAAGTATTTAGTCAGATTAAAGTCAGTGGGCGACAGTAGCTCAGTTGGTAGAGCATTGGCCTTAAGGCCTGAAGGTCGTGGGTTCAATTCCAACCTCTACACCTTCTCCACCGACTCCCACTGATGACTGCTGTTGTTGTGTCCTTGGGCAAGACACTTAACCCCACTTTGCCCAAAGCCCCCACTGAAAGATCAAGGCTATGCTCACACTCAGAGAGCAGGCGACCTCCTGTGGACTCACCACCTGCAGAGGGTCAGTGAGGGGCTGGTGCTATGAGACTTGGGTGGCATCTCTGACTGCCACCCCCCTGACCCAGAAATGGATTAAAGGGAAGAAAATGGATGGATGGATAAAGTCAGTGGGAGCAATTATTATAAAATGGAAGACATACAAACAGGGGTGGACTGGCCATCGGGCGTACCGGGCAATGCCCGAAGGGCCGATGCCCATATTTGGACCGGCCTGTGAGCTTCATAGAAAAATATATTTTTGAGAAATGTGTAAATCTGTTAAAAAATGTTCGAGGGGGGCATGACCGCGGGGCACCTGCTGTTGAATACTGTATGAACTCGAACGCTTTGGACAGCGGCTCTCGCTGCCTGTGAGCCGCTGTGACAACAACACGGCAGCGGACAGTCATAACAGGACCATGTAACCTAGACCATATACACCACAGGACCATGTACCCTAGACCATATACACCACAGGACCATGTACCCTAGACCATATACACCACAGGACCATGTACCCTAGACAATATACACCACAGGACCATGTACCCTAGACCATATACACCACAGGACCATGTACCCTAGACAATATACACCCACAGGACCATGTAACCTAGACCATATACACCACAGGACCATGTAACCTAGACCATATACACCACAGGACCATGTGACCTAGACCATATACACCACAGAACCATGTAACCTAGACCATATACACCACAGGACCATGTAACCTAGACCATATACACCACAGGACCATGTGACCTAGACCATATACACCACAGGACCATGTAACCTAGACCATATACACCACAGGACCATGTAACCTAGACCATATACACCACAGGACCATGTACCCTAGACAATATACACCCACAGGACCATGTAACCTAGACCATATACACCACAGGACCATGTAACCTAGACCATATACACCACAGGACCATGTGACCTAGACCATATACACCACAGGACCATGTACCCTAGACAATATACACCCACAGGACCATGTAACCTAGACCATATACACCACAGGACCATGTAACCTAGACCATATACACCCACAGGACCATGTACCCTAGACCATATACACCCACAGGACCATGTACCCTAGACCATATACACCACAGGACCATGTACCCTAGACCATATACACCCACAGGACCATGTACCCTAGACAATATACACCCACAGGACCATGTAACCTAGACCATATACACCACAGGACCATGTACCCTAGACCATATGCACCCACAGGACCATGTACCCTAGACCATATACACCCACAGGAGCATGTGACCTAGACCATATACACCACAGGACCATGTACCCTAGACAATATACACCCACAGGACCATGTAACCTAGACCATATACACCACAGGACCATGTACCCTAGACCATATACACCCACAGGACCATGTAACCTAGACCATATACACCACAGGACCATGTAACCTAGACCATATACACCCACAGGACCATGTACCCTAGACCATATACACCCACAGGACCATGTACCCTAGACCATATACACCCACAGGACCATGTAACCTAGACCATATACACCCACAGGACCATGTACCCTAGACCATATACACCCACAGGACCATGTAACCTAGACCATATAGACCCACAGGACCATGTGACCTAGACCATATACACCCACAGGACCATGTAACCTAGACCATATACACCCACAGGACCATGTAACCTAGACCATATACACCCACAGGATCATGTACCCTAGACCATATACACCCACAGGACCATGTAACCTAGACCATATACACCCACAGGACCATGTACCCTAGACACCCAAAGCAGGACCATGTGCCCTAGACCATATACACCCACAGAACCATGTAACCTAGACCATATACACCCACAGGACCATGTAACCTAGACCATATACACCCACAGGACCATGTACCCTAGACCATATACACCCACAGGACCATGTTACCTAGACCATATGTAACTCATTTGATATGTTTCAGTCCGGCTTTAGACCCCACCACAGCACTGAGACTGCTCTCGTCAAGGTTACAAATGATATCCCGCTGAACACTGACGCAGGCAAAGTCTCAATCTTAATCTTGTTAGATCTGAGTGCTGCCTTTGACACCGTCGACCATGAGATCCTCTTACAGAGACTAGAGGACTGGGTTGGCGTCGCTGGCACCGCCCTAAGTTGGTTTAGGTCTTACCATGAGGACAGGAAGTACTTTGTGGAGATTGGAAACTGTGTCTCAGATCATATGGCCCTGACCTGTGGAGTACCACAGGGGTCGATCCTGGGACCTCTTCTGTTCAATCTCTACATGCTGCCGTTAGGTCAGTTAATACGCAGAAACAAAGTTTCCTATCACAACTATGCAGACGACACTCAGATCTATGTCTCACTGACTGCAGGAGAACATGGACCAGTGGACTCACTCCTTCACTGTATCCAACAGATCAGTGAGTGGATGCAAAACAACTTCCTTCAGCTAAACGCAGACAAAATTGAAATGATTGTCTTTGGTCCCCAAAAACAAAGAGAGCGTCATCTGTCACCTACAGTCTCTCTCCCTAAAACCTTCAAACAAGGTCAGAAATCTAGGGGTAATACTGGACTCAGACTTAAATTTTAATAGCCACATCAAATCAGTAACATCAGCAGCTTTTTACCATCTAAAAAACATTGCCAGGATCAAAAACATAGTGTCTAAAGCAGACTTGGAGATTCTTATCCATGCATTTGTCTCGAGTAGGTTAGACTACTGCAATGGCCTGCTCACAGGTCTGTCCAAACAGGCTGTAAAACAGCTGCAGTACTGTGTGCGACCTCTGGACAGAGCAGTCGCATTCTCTTGCTGCTCCTCGCTTTCTGCTTTTTTATCTCCTTTAATCATTTTTGCTTACATTTTTATTCCACAAAACACGGATTACTCCTTTTTACAAACTTCAACACAAGACTTGTGGAATTTACCTAACTTACAGCATGTCGGGAGGACGGGAAAACAGAACAAAACTTTGCGACGGCTGTTTTTCACTCAAACAGGAGCTAAAACTTCTTCAAGACCGAATGTTTGTGCTTGAATCAGAATTGGGGCTGAACACAACAATACCAATGAAGGGAAATGGACCAAATGGACAAAACGTAAGTTATGATGACGCTATTTCATTTCCCAAAATCAACAGAGACAATTGTTGGAACACATATGGTGCCAAGCCCAAACAAGGCAAAGCTAATGATAACAAGAGTGTCATAATGCCACAGCAAAAATCTTTAATTACAAGAAACCGCTTTTCCCCACTTTTGGAAGATGAATCAGCAGTAGTCTCTCAGTCCCAGTCTCAGTCTCAGTCAAGGTCAAATGCAGCTGAGTCGCTCTTTATCGGCGATTCGGCGATAAGACGCGTAAACATGCGTAATCTCAAGGTTCACTCAGTACACTCTGCCAAAGTGGATGAGATAAGGCGGCTGGCTCCGAGGCTTCTGTCTGAGACCGGCGGGGTAAAAAGATTGTTGATCCACGTGGGGGCAGTAGACGTCTATGACAACACAAGTGAAAAGTTGAAACAGGATTACTCTCTCTTATTGGACGACCTTGCTAAAATGGATGTAAAAATCGTTATCAGTGGCCCACTACCAAATGTGGACCGGAAGCAAATGAAATTCAGTCGTCTGTATCAGCTAAATACTTTCCTACTCAACGAATGTTCACGCAGAGGACTTGCCTTCATTGAGAATTTTAATCTGTTCTGGAATAGGCATGAGCTTTTTGAAGGGAAAGGGCCACATCTGAACACTTACGGAGTAAAAGTGTTGATGGATAACCTTTCTTTTGCCCTGAGACCTCAGCCTGCGCAGCTCGTGCAGCCATCGAAAAGGAGGAAGCCGACTCTAAAAGTCTCTGCACCTCCACCACCTCGAAGGATCTCAACACCTCCACCACATCGAAGGATCTCAACACCACCACCACCTCGAAGGATCTCAACACCACCACCACCTCGAAGGATCTCAACACCACCACCACCTCGAAGGATCTCAACACCACCACCACCTCGAAGGATCTCAACACCACCACCACCTCGAAGGATCTCAACACCATCACCGCCTCAAAGGATCTCAACACCTCCACTGTCATCAGAAGCAGCTGCATCATCACCAGTAGCAGCACCAGCAGCACGACCACCACCACCACCAACATCCTCATCCCTAGCCTGCTCCAAAGCAGCCACGCCTTCTTCTTCTACAGCGCCTCTGAAGCCCCCATCCTCACCCCAGGCTACAGCAGACAGGCCTGTGCTGGGGTTTCCTCAACCACCTGCCCCTCCATCAAAGACTCCCTCGCCACCTCCCATGGACCTGTCTTGGGTCCCCCCTGCCACGTCCACTCCATCAAGAGAGAATGGGGACACGTCCCTTTGTTTTTCATCCCCGCCTTCACTGTTAGACCTACCTGAACACTCTGCAGGGCTAATAAAATCGGCGATGAAGACTATTCCTCTCACACCCATATTAGCTAGATCTAGAGTCCTGTCCAACATGCTAAACCACTCCCCATATGTACCTCCAAAACCACCTAGGGTTTCCAATTCACCTACAAAAACCACCTCAGCCAGTCCCTCCCCTAACCTCATGACCATTCCACCCCCACTTCCCCCTCGTTCAGCACCCAAAACCTCTGCCTCAGCCCACCCCGGCCCTAACCCATCACCAAAAACCCCTCCACCTCCCTGCCCCCCTCGTTCAACACCCAAAAGCCACCCACCTCTCCATCCTCCTCCCCCGCCTTCCCCTTCCCCTCTTTTCTCTAAACACTAGGATGCACAGGGTCTCTGCTTCGCAGCCACTGGCAGTCTAGTTAGAGGAGAGACCCGGCTGGGGCCCTGTCATGAAGCCACCTGTGCCATTCCCGTAGTGATAACACAAAGAATACATTACAGAAAGACATCTGGAGTTAATAAGTCTAATCTGGAAAATCTAATTCTTGTTCCGTGTAAGAATCAGCCGACCACAACCGCTGATACTGAAACTTTGAAACTTGCTACGCTTAATGTCAGATCTCTTTGTAACAAGTCTTTTTTAATCAATAATTTTATTTGTTCTCATAATCTTGATCTTATGTTCATGGCTGAAACTTGGCTTGACCAAAATTCAGGAAATGCAGTTTTAATAGAAGCATCTCCACCAAATTTCAAGTTTGAATCTGAAATACGGGAAAACAAAAAAGGAGGAGGCTTAGCTGCCATTTTCAGAGACCACTTTGTCTCCCATAGAATGTCTCTTGGGAAGTTTTCGTCTTTTGAATATGTGTCTTTTAAAATACAACAAAAACAATCTCCTCCAATACTCTTCATTGTCCTAAGAGTCACCGCAGCCACCGCAGTCATGTCACAGTTTTATTGATAATTTTACTGAGTTGCTTTCAGTTGTATGCACAGATTTTGATAGTTTGGTTATTACAGGTGATTTTAATATTCATGTGGATAATGTTGATGACAGAAATGCAAATGAGCTGAGTTCTGTACTTGAATCCTTTGATCTCACTCAGCACGTAAGTGGCCCCACCCACAGCAGAGGGCACACTCTAGATCTGTTAGTTACTAAGGGGGTGAATATTTCAAATGTAAACGTGGTCGATGTTGCTCTTTCGGATCATTTCTGTGTTTTTTTTGACATGTGTTTCACTAACAAACCACCAGTGGACTCTGCAACTGTACGAAGAAGACACATAAATGAAAATACGAGTGAACTATTTATGGGAATGATAAACTTTGCGAATGCATCGTATTCTACTGTAGATGAACTGTTTAACTCTGTCACCTCTAGTGTTTTGAATGTTCTGGATACCGTTGCCCCTGTGAAGGTTAAAATAGTGAAAAATAAGCAGAAGGCGCCGTGGGCTAAAGCAGACTCGGTCAGGGCACAAAAGAGAAAGTGCCGGAGGGCCGAGCGGAAGTGGCGCAAGTCCAACCTCCAGGTTGATTACGAGATCTTCAAAGATAAGTTGTGCGAGTTTAACCGGGTGCTACGTAGTACGAGAGAAAGGTATTTTTCTGAAATGATTGAAGGCTGCAGCAACAATCTGCGTGTTCTGTTTTCAACAGTTAATAGATTAACAAACCCCACTGTTCAAATGCCATTAGAGCTTACTTCCAAACGTAAATGCAATGAGTTTGCAAATTTTTTCAATGACAAGGTTCAAGGCATCAAAAACGCCATTGTCTCCAATCCACAGATAACCATCCAACAGCCAGAAAGGCTCTCTGAGCTAACTCACTTTGCACCTGTAAATGATAAAACTGTCCAAGAGATAATCTCCAGTTTGAGCTCCTCCACATGCAGCTTGGATGTACTACCCACTAGATTTCTGAAGTCTGTTCTGAGCAGTCTGTTACCTTCACTCACACAGATAGTAAACATGTCCCTTCATTCTGGAATATTCCCAAAGGCCCTGAAAACTGCAGTCATCAGGCCCCTGCTAAAAAAGAGCAGTCTCGATGCTACGGTACTTAACAACTATCGTCCCATCTCAAATCTGCCATTTATGGGGAAAGTCCTTGAAAAAGTTGTCTACCTACAGCTTACTAGATTTCTTATAATTAACAACTCATTTGATATGTTTCAGTCCGGCTTTAGACCCCACCACAGCACTGAGACTGCTCTCGTCAAGGTTACAAACGATATCCGGCTGAACACTGACGCAGGCAAAGTCTCAATCTTAATCTTGTTAGATCTAAGTGCTGCCTTTGACACCGTCGACCATGAGATCCTCTTACAGAGATTAGAGGACTGGGTTGGAGTCGCTGGCACCGCCCTAAGTTGGTTTAGGTCTTACCTTGAGGACAGGAAGTACTTTGTGGAGATTGGAAACTGTGTCTCAGATCATATGGCCCTGACCTGTGGAGTACCACAGGGGTCGATCCTGGGACCTCTTCTGTTCAATCTCTACATGCTGCCGTTAGGTCAGTTAATACGCAGAAACGAAGTTTCCTATCATAACTATGCAGACGACACTCAGATCTATGTCTCACTGACTGCAGGAGAACATGGACCAGTGGACTCACTCCTTCACTGTATCCAACAGATCAGTGAGTGGATGCAAAACAACTTCCTTCAGCTAAACGCAGACAAAACTGAAATGATTGTCTTTGGTCCCCAGAAACAAAGAGAGAGCGTCATCTGTCACCTACAGTCTCTCTCCCTAAAACCTTCAAACAAGGTCAGAAATCTAGGGGTAATACTGGACTCAGACTTAAATTTTAATAGCCACATCAAATCAGTAACATCAGCAGCTTTTTACCATCTAAAAAACATTGCCAGGATCAAAAACATAGTGTCTAAAGAAGACTTGGAGATTCTTATCCATGCATTTGTCTCCAGTAGGTTAGACTACTGCAATGGCCTGCTCACAGGTCTGTCCAAACAGACTGTAAAACAGCTGCAGTACATTCAAAATGCAGCAGCTCGAGTCCTGACAAGAACCAGGAAGTACGACCACATTAGTCCAGTCCTCAGGTCTCTGCACTGGCTTCCTGTGGCTCAGAGAATAGACTTTAAAACAGCTCTGCTTGTGTACAAGTCTCTCCATGGCCTCGCACCAAAATATATTAGTGACATGTTAGTCCCATATGAACCAGCCCGGACTCTGAGGAGCACAGGGACTGGACTCCTGTTAGTGCCCAGAGTCAGAACTAAACATGGGGAGGCTGCTTTTCAGATTCATGCTGCTAAAATCTGGAACAGTCTTCCTGGAGATGTGAGACAGGCCTCCTCTCTGACAATGTTTAAAGCCAGGTTAAAGACAGTTCTGTTTAGCTGTGCATACAACTGAGGGATTTTATATTTGTATCTTTCTTTTTAATGTTCTGTGATTATTTATGATTTTAATGCTTTCTTGTTTTGTTCAGCACTTTGAATTGCCTTGTGTATGAATTGTGCTATATAAATAAACTTGCCTTGCCTTGCCTTGCCTTACATTCAAAATGCAGCAGCTCGAGTCCTGACAAGAACCAGGAAGTACGACCACATTAGTCCTGACTAGAACCAGGAAATACGACCACATTAGTCCTGACTAGAACCAGGAAGTACGACCACATTAGTCCTGACTAGAACCAGGAAGTACGACCACATTGGTCCTGACTAGAACCAGGAAGTACGACCACATTAGTCCTGACAAGAACCAGGAAGTACGACCATAATAGTCCTGACTAGAACCAGGAAGTACGACCACATTAGTCCAGTTCTCAGGTCTCTGCACTGGCTTCCTGTGGCTCAGAGAATAGACTTTAAAACAGCTCTGTTTGTTACTAGTCTCTCCATGGCCTCGCACCAAAATATATTAGTGACATGTTAGTCCCATATGAACCAGCCCGGACTCTGAGGAGCACAGGGACTGGACTCCTGCTGGGACTCTGAGGAGCACAGGGACTGGACTCCTGCTGGGACTGGGACTCTGAGAAGCACAGGGACTGGACTCCTGCTGGGACTCTGAGGAGCACAGGGACTGGACTCCTGCTGGGACTCTGAGGAGCACAGGGACTGGACTCCTGTTAGTGTCCAGAGTCAGGACTAAACTACTTACTAACGCCGTTACTTTTTTCAGTAACGAGTAATCTAACTAATTACTTTGACTGTAACTATAACGCCGTTATCATTAACATCCCGTTACTGCGCGTTACTCAAGACGTTCAATGAACTTCTCTTTTTCCTTCGTGATAGGACTCTGTTGTCATGAGAGAAGGATGAGAAAACCTCTCAGATATTATTGGCTGATGTAAAACATATTTCCTTTACAGTCTACATGTCTACAGTTGAGAGGATGGTCATAAAGTGTGTTTTTGAAACAAATGGGTCTTAATCACACTCTACCACGGCTTGTATCACCGTGAGGCCTCAGAAGAGCTCATGTGAGCGCAGAAGGCTGCATACAATTCCATGGATAAGCTCCTTTCTCTTCCTGGTTTATCTGCTAAGGACAGCAGCAGGTTTGGCTAACATACAATTAACACATTTTAAGATCATTTAAAATGCACTTAGGGTAATTTTTCAATCACTGTAGGAATGCTAAGAAAGAGGTGAAGTGACGGTTGGTTTTAGAAATTG